TTCTGGTCGACACCCCRAAGCCAACGGATTGGCTGAGGAGATCAACCARAYTGTCATSCAATTGCTTCGCGCACTAATTGTTCCAGATCAGAACAYGTGGGACAAGGAATTGCACAAAGTGAAGGGGCTGTACAACAACTCCATTCACTCTGCGACTGGTGTGACACCAAACCAATTGCAGTATGGATGGCCGATGCGTAATCCCCTCTCCTATCTGTTCCCCGAACGGTCACYTGGTCTGATGCCCGGCATGCCWGGCTACAATGCCAAGTACGCACRCTTGCTCAAAGCTGCTACAGCARCTATGAACAAGCACCAGCATGCCATGATCAAACATGCCAATAAGCTGCGCAAAGAAGAAAAATTCAAAGTAGGGGATTATGTTTGGGTCAAAATGTCTGAGTTTTCTGATGAAGAGGGCATATCACGGAAGCTTCTTCTACTGTACTACGGCCCTTGGCAGATTCTGAAGGTAGTCGGGGATGACTTTGGCCCTTCATTTGTGATTGACGTGCCTCCTCATCTGCGCACGTATCCGGTCTTTCACGCGTCCAAACTATTCCCACACATTGATGATGAGACCTTTTCTTTCCGAGACCCGATGATACCTCGCCCTATCGATGGCGGCCATGAGATAGACAGAATCGTATCTCACGAGGGCAGAGGGAGGAACAGACAATATAAGGTTCACTTCCTCTATCACCCGTTGACTGAGTTCTTCTGGATCGACCGGAAAGAGCTGCTAAAAAGTGCTCCCCGTGTTGTGAACACTTACGAAAGACAGATCACCGAGGGATAGACCGCTAAGTTCGTAGCAACAATGACTCCTCATGGATTGACCAAGTCTCTTTTTCTGATGTACTCCTACGATGCATTCTGTACCGACTCTGACTGAGTTACTCGCTCGAAGGGACCTGGCTCTCGAGAGGGGAGTAATGTAATGACCCGCCAAAAACACAGACTGAGAACACTACTGATTTCTGGGATTTGTCACTGGAATGAATGCCTTGCTGTGATTCCCGCATTCTGTTGTGGTTCCAAGTCTGTGTGTATGCGTGCCTGCTGGTTTGCATGCCTGTCTGAGTGCTTGCCGGTTGTGTGTGTGTGCGTGCCTGCTGGTTTGCACGTCTGTCTGAGTGCTTGCTGGTTGGGTATGTGGTGTGACCCGCAAGGGTACTTGTTGGTTGCAAGGCCCACCGGGCCGGTACTTACCTGTGGCCGTGACTTCGAAGGGTTGCAGGGGGGTAAACACGCCGGTAGCGGGGARTAGGCCCACGACRCTTAGAGCAGCTGGGGAAAAACACTCAAGTAGCAGGTAGGCCGAGCAGAAGAAGACAAAAAGTTGGCATTTTTRGASGCMCAGTAGCGRTAGGTTAGAGGWAGGCCGGTACCAGTCCAAGTAGCCCGGGTCTAGGGCCTGTGYGGACAATAAYAGAGCCTGCAATRATGTTTCCCTCMAAAAGGGAGGAGGTACCGGTTGCTGGGAGGCCGCTTGGCCTAGGAAGTCACYGCCCASGAGGCCGGTAGGCCGCTATATCTTCAGGAAGAGCGGAGAGCTYTTCCTCATTTGCGGTATGCAAGGATTGGCGACATGCTGCTGGAGYGCAGCGCTGGACTGAAGCAGCGCTGCTTGGAGGTGAAGGTCCGCTGGGGCTCAGCCTGGCTATGGCGAGCACCCCAGCTTGAGGAGGAGGAAGAAGGGGGCATGGTAGGAGAGTGGTAGGGCACTTACCTGGCTATGGTGGACACCGTCYTCATCACCTTGTTGGGCGCTGCATCTGGAAGGCCCCAGTTGGGGTAGCGCTGCACCAGGGCAGCTCGAGGCAGAGTCAGGCATAGCGGACCAAGTCAAGCAGCGGCATAGCGGACCAAGTCAAGCAGCGGCATAGCTGCTTTGGGTTGTCTTCTGGACATCAGGGCAGCACCATAGCTGCCACCCAGTAGTCCGCCATGGCCTATGCATGAGAGAGGAGGTTGAAGGAGGGAAGACATAGCCATGGTGGACTTGTTGTTGTTGTTGTTGTTGTTGTTGTGAGTTGAGTCAGCGGTAAGAGGGAACTTCGGACATTGATTCTGGTTTATCCATTCATTGTTATTATTATTATTGAGAGAAGAATAAGATTGGTGAAGAGAAGGAGGAAGGAGGAAGGTGGAGAGAGAGAAGGGGGAATTGTCATTGGTCTTGCTGGTGTACTTCTTCTTCTTCTTCTTCTTCTTCTTCTTCTTCTTTACCTCTCCTCTGGTCTTTATCTCTTTGCAAGTGCTTCATTTCTTTCGCAATTGGGTGGCATTGTCTTTCATTGTGAATTTGCACTTGGGAAATGACTAGGATCGTAACACAGGGCCGGAAAGGCCCTGTTTTTGGCTGAAACGACACAGGGCCTGTAGGCCCTTGTTTTCAGGCTTTCAGGCTGAAATGACACAGGGCCTGTAGGCCCTTGTTTTCAGGCTTTCGGGCTGAAAACGGCACAGGCCTGAAAATGGCCCGTGCAGCCTGTTGCAGGCGCAGCATGTAACATACAAGTCCGGATTGAGGACTGTGTTCCAGTCCCCCCCAACAACCAGGAAATCAGCCTGTGGGATCTCTGTAGAGATTCATGCAATAAATTGTAATTTTGCTGAGTGTTCTGACGGTACATATATGGACATTAAACACCAGAGTTGGTTAATATGCAGTTCCAATGTGGCCCATGTCCAATGCCCCAGAATGAGGGGTACAACGGTGCCAATTGTCAATATGAGGGACAGAAATGAAAAATGCTCCCGTTGGTGGTCCCAATGGGATCGATACAAAGGGGCAGAATGCTGCAGAGAGCTAATAAAAGGCCTATTGGTCCAGGTCTTCCCTCAAGTGGTTGACTTTGAAAACCAACAACACCCCCCCTCCCCCCCCGCCTCCCCCCTGGGCCCACTTGAGTGCATAGGTGTTATAGGCATGGCCACGATCTGGACGTCCAGATTGCAGTGCAGACGGTTTAGGTCTGGATGTTTAGGTCTGGATGTCCAGTCCACAGCGTCTGGACCTGGTCCCCACCGTGAGAAAATGAAAAATCAAAGGAAACCTAAAACTTGAAAAGAAGATATGTTATGCAGCAATGCAATACAAAAATCTTCAGTAGTTATGGATGTGTACATCTCGCTGCAAGACCTCTTCTGTGCAAGCACGGATCCGAAATGGCGACCTTGGTCTCAGAGCTAAGTCTCTTAACCACACTACGGCCAGGACATGGTGTCCGAAAACACACAACGCCACCGGGACGCGGCAATTTTCATTTCTGTCCCTCAAATTTTATGTTATATTTTTGGGAAGACTTCCCTCAAATCAGCACCTGAACCCCACTGGTTAGCCAAATACGAGGAAAGGAATAAAATCGATTTTTTTTTCCTTCTGATTTCTGTGAGGGGGTGGGGAGGTCATTCGGGACAGTCCAGAGCCATCCTGACAGAGGTCTGCCTGGACATCTGGATTGGTCTGGAAGTCTGCAGCCGGTGTAGCCATGGTTATAACTTATCATCCTCCATGCAGTGAAAAGAGGGCATTTGCAGGGGTCAGATGGCGTTGGGCACCCTTTCATAAAAATAAAAAAAAAGAAAAGAGGGCTTTTTTTTTTTATATATATATTTAAAGGGCGACGACCTTGAGATATTATCATTGAGCTGACCGGCCCCAAGCAATTCATTTGTAGTCGGTTTTACTCGTCAAGTTCCATCATCTGGATTCGAACACAGGTCTGTGTTTCAACAGTTCCATGGGTGTACCCACTGAGCTAGGGTCTTGGGTAAAAGAGGGCATTTGCACATACCATTTCTCAGCTTTTTTTTTTTTTTTCTTTCACCGAACAATGTCTTTATAAAAGCCGGGAACCAGGCCCCGCGGCTCTTACAAAATTAGGTGGGGCCCTCAGTGGGCAAAGAATCACCGGCCAAGCACATCGAGGGCACCACTAGATTTCAACCCACCCACAGCCAACTCCGCAACCAACTCCACAGCCCCAACAACTGAAAAGTCAAAGAAAATTATCATCAAAACCTAAGTTCATCACCAAGAAACTCTAACCACAACAGTCTTTACTTTTTTTTTTTTCTTTTTTTTTTTTTCTTTTTTTTTGCTGTTTCTCATCTTTTATTGTTTTTTTTTTGGAGGGGGGAACTGCACGGGAGTCACAAAAATGAGTTATAATCATACTATGGGCCAAGATACAGTTTCGAATTGCAGTTCGGGCAATGTATACAACCCAGCTTTCTGGCCAGGTAGGGTGCCCCAAGTGCAACTGCAAACTGTATCTTGCCCCATAGTGCAATTACAACTCGTTTTTGTGACTCTACTGAAGTTACCCCTTGTTCTTTTCCTTTTTCTTTTTGCCCTCGTTTAATTTTATTTTTATTTTTTTAATAACTTTATAATAGCGCGACGGTCTTGAGAGGTCATCATCTAACTGACCTGCCCAAGTTAATGCTGAATTGTCATATTCCACTCGTCTGCTTCCAGTGGGGTGCTTGAACCCAGGTCTGTATTTCAACAGTTCTAAAGGTTGTTGTTGTTGTTGTTGTTGTTGTTGTTGTTGTTGTTGAAAGAGAACAACCCGAACCAGTACGAGGAGTGCTGATAGGAGCAGACACCTCTAGTTGATCCTGGTTAAACTTGCTTCCGGTTTTAATTGGGGTTTGTAAATATCAATTTTGGTGTTTACGGAGCCTTGAAGATGGAAACAAACAGTGCCACTCTGATTTTGCAAGCTCTGTAAATTCACAACAAAGTCCTGAAAATCCTGAAGGAATCGCAGGGGTGAATTCCGCATGTAGAATAGAATTATATAGCATTCCATTTCTTTCGATACTGCTCAATTTCAAATGCAAAGCTCCAGGCTGTGATGATATTCAAAAAGAAAAAAGAAAAAAAAAAGAAAAAAAAAGAAAAAAAAAGAAAAAAAAACAAATGCAAAGCTCCATTTTCGATTTTTAGTCAATGCAAGACTGCTGAACTCAAGAAGAAGTGGAAAGAGTCGAAGAGCGGACTCAGCGGAATACAGCCTAGAAGAAGAAGAAGAAGAAGAAGAAAAAGAAGAAGAAGCCAAGAAAAATGCTCCCAAAAAAAAAAAGAAAAAAAAAAAGTGTCAATCAGCGTTCAATCACTAGACGGAAAGTAAGGTTGATTCTTGTGGTGTGGATGCCAGCCCTCCTGGGAACTGAGTGTTCCCAGTCCCTTTGCGTATACCCCTTCATTACCAGCAGCGACCCATGTTGCAGTGTGAAGCTATACTTGGTCGTGGGACTGGATGACCCCTCCTCCTCTGCCTCCAATCCTTCCTCCTCCTCCTCCTCCTCCTCCTTCATCCTCCTAGAACCCGACACTTCTTCTCCTAACACCTTGCCACCACCTCTGTCCTTCCCCTCACTGGCTCTCTTTCCCCGCACACCCCAGAGATCTAACAACGTTCGCGTAGACCGCGACGAGCGCCAGGCCCTCTCAGTCACCCCAGATGCAGCTGCAGCTGCTGCTGGAGTTTCGTCTGCCCTGTTCTCCTCAGGACTCGAGCTAGCATTCTTCTTCAGAGCATCATCAGCCTGCCCATTTCTCCTTCTCTTCGCAGCCGCCCTGTATTCTTCCCCCCTTTCTTCTACGTTCTGACCACATACAGACACTGTGATCCTATCTGCTGCGTTTGACGGGGTCCAAGGTGCCTGCTTCACGCTCTGCTCCCAAAAGTTCACACCTTTTTCCTTCGCTATCCTGCATTCTTCCCCTTCTACTTTCCCACCAGATACAGACACATTCTGACCAGATACAGACACGTTCTGACCAGATACAGACACGTTCTGACCAGATACAGACACGTTCTGACCACATACAGACACGTTCTGACCAGATACAGACACGTTCTGACCACATACAGACACTGCGATCCTGTCTGGTGCGCTGGAGGGGGTCCAAGGTGCCTGCTTCTTCACGCTCTGCTCCCAGAAGTTCACACCTTTTTCCTTCGCTATCCTGCACTCTTCCCCTTCTTCTCCTTTCCGACCACATACAGACACGTTCTGACCAGATACAGACACGTTCTGACCAGATACAGACTCTTTCTTCGCCGTCTTCTTCCTCCTCAGGAGAAACTCGCGACTGGCACCAAGTGTCACCGAAGCTATGGTTGGCTGATCGCCATAGACGGGCTCGTCGTCCGAGTGCCATGCCACGGAGTCTTTTCCGTTGACGTACCTATTAATCAACACACTGTTGAACCTCATCCACTCTGGCAACGCCTGATGAAGCTTATCCAGAATCTCCCGCGCAACAGGGAACTCCTCCCAGGAATGGACACGTGGCTGATAACCGCTGTACTTGTATCCCCGAACGTCAGAGTCGGCGATGTAGCACGTTTCCCTGGGCTGAAGGGTTTTCCTGCCAAAGACCGAGATCTCCGGTCGAACCCACGGGATCCCGGCATCGAGAGCCTTCATCCAACGGTCGGCAAGCGCTTTGGGAAATCGCTGTGGGTAATACTCTATACCACATCCTTTGCTAATCTGCAAATGAATGTTACCTTCATCATTGAGGATTCGAATGGGTTGGTCGGGTTTCGATCCCTTTACCTTGGCCTCTGATTTTGTCTTTTTTGTTTTTTTTACGACTCCTTGCACCATCGTCTCCTCTTGTTTCACCCCCAAGGCCAGCAACTGCCTACTGCAGCCAGCAGCCAAAACCTCGCCGGCCGCCTCCTGTTCCTGTGTGTCTGACAAGCTAGACGAGAGGATGAACCGACACAAGGTGTATGTCCAGGTTCCTGCTGATTGCTGCCTTAATCACGAGCAGGAGCAGGGGAGAAAGCCTCGTTCCACCTCAGCGTCTACCTCCCCCGGATTCCGCCTCCACCCCTCTCCTCTCCAGTTAACCCACGGCCAAACTCTCTCTCTCTCTCTCTCTCTCTCTCTCTCAGGTATGTAACTGCTCTCCCTCTCCCCTGATGTGTGACTCTCTCTCTCTCTCTCTCTCTCTCTCTCTCTCTCTCTCTCTCTCTCTCTCTCTCTCTCTCTCTTGCACACAGGATTGTTCCTGACATCTCGCGCGATAACTGCAAATTTTACAAAGGGCACAAACGAGAGCACCAACCAGAACCACCGAATCATTCATCCACAACAAATACAGACACGCTTATAAACTCTCTGGTAAGTCGGTGAAAATCGAACGAAACAGTCTGCCTTTCTCTTTGGAGTCGTGTATAATAGCCGACATGACCACACACACACACACAGAGAGAGAGAGAGAGAGAGAGAGCGAGAGAGAGAGAGAGAGAGAGAGAGAGAGAGCTGGTTACAATGAATGTTAAGAGTACGGCACAAACGACAGGATAAATATCCCAGCACCAAAGATATGGACCATTTCACTTCTCGATTTATGTGTGTCATCCTTGAGTGCGCAGGCAGGCACCACCATGGTAATCTCTTCTCTCTGTGTACCGTTCCATTTCTTGCCTTAGGGTTTTAGGCTCCTTTTCCTTTTTCTTTTTTTTTTTCTTTTTTTTTCCCCTAATGTTCGTTTTTCTTTGTTGTTTTCGCTGTTTGTTTTTATGCTGTCCACTGTACGGATTGGTGAAAAACTACCTTCTTCCCCCGAATACAACGTATTCGGTCATTATACCTGTATATAGACTGAAAGATACCCCAAATTCAGCTATAATGACCGTACGTTGTATTCGGGGGAAGAAGGTAGGCTTCAAAATTAAAAGGTTTCGGTTTTTTTTTTTGTCCTAAAGCCCAGGGGGAAAACCCTGCAAATTACCAACTGGCTTAGCTCAGTTGGTACACCCCTGCCTGACCTGTTGAAATACAGACTCAAGATCGAACTCCACTGGCAGCAGGGCCGTGGTCCCACTAGCACAGAGGATCGGATCGAATGCCTGAATCTGGACGTGTTTGTGGAGAGGTGCAGAATGTCGAGATTGAACTGCTTTTCTGCATGTCCGCTTAAAACACGTCCAGATTCAGGATATTTATCCAATCCCCTTTGCTGGTGGGACCTCGCTCCAGATGACTAAAATACCTAACTGCAGATGACTAAAATACCCAATTATGAAGGACCTACGGCCGGTCAGCTCGATAATGACAATGATATCTCAAGGGCGGTGCCCTTGGAAACAAAACAAAAAAAAAAAAAAAAAAAAAAAAAAAAAAAAAAAAAAAAAAAAAAAAAAAAAAAAA